CCTACAAATCACCGTTACGGTTTCATCACCAAACCTCGCAGTTTAACGGGTAGCATCTTCTTTCTTATTCGCTATTCCCGGGTTCATATCGCGGCTCTGAGACCTGCTTTAATGATATTGTCACGTGTTCAGTGACTAGATTCTGGGTTTAGATTGGTAATCGGATTTGGCTCTTGAAACTCTTTAACTGCTAGTAACTAAAGTGCTGTCGCTCTTTCCAGCGTTGGCGTTTGGTAACGGCTACCAATGCCGTAGATTTCTCAGCTTCCGTGTTCCATGGCTTCGGTCTTCGCTGTTGGGCCGTTATGTTACAACTCAGGCGTTTCCTGATTACAGTCTTCTAACAAGGACTATTCCTTAGAACCTTACGGCTCCAGATCTGCACTGTAGTGCTCTGCCGCTGACCTCCTAGGCAGGGCCCATGACCTCCTTCCTCAGATGTCTTATCTACTTCCGGCTGCGTCCGTCTTCTCATTAAACTATTCCGGCTTTCAGGGGACATGCTACGATATATTTTTTTTTCGTGGTTTTCCTCGTACTGTTGAATCAGATTCCGGCAGCGTAAGCTTGCTTTAGGCCATGGCCGATTTGTTCCTCTTATTTCCAGTCACATAATCTTAGAGCGAGTGAAGGAAGCCACAAACAAAGAGAAGTGTTTGCTGTTAACGAGCTGCAGATGTTCACTTCCTCTGGAATATCTCGAAACGTCAAAGGGAAGCGGAGAAGATACGGTCGCTTTTCAGTCAGTCTGAATGTAGGGGGCTCTGTCTGTAGAGAAATTAGCCCACGAATAATCACAGGCGCATGTTCACAAAGGAGTTTGTACCGAACGCTAGCTAATATCTCGGCCATTCCGTATAAATCGTTGGAAGAGTCAAGAATATCCGTGGTTTTAGGGGTGCCGCACACCAACTGCGTCAAGACATGCATCAAGACATGAGACAAAACACGCAGTCTCGCTTCACACGTGATTCGTCAGCATCATGACTCAGACCGGTGCGCGGCGGTTTTCGTAATCTCATTCGTTTCAACTGTGCTCCTTTCTTTGCTTCATGTCGCAGACATCGTGTCTTGACGAATGCCGGTGTGCGGCCTACCTTAGAGTTCCTTCCGTTTAGATACTGACCTGGAGTTCGTAGAGGATGTGTAAGTGCTTAATTAAGGCCGCGCCATAGCTCAAGAGCGGTTAGTCGCTGGCTTCCTACCGCGGCTGCCCGGGTTCGATCCCGGGTCTGATCAAGTGGGATTTGTGTTGGACAAATTGGCGATGGGGCAGGTTTTCTCCGAGTACTTCGGTTTCCCCTGCCAATCTTCATTCCACGAATTGCTCCACAATCACCCTCACCTATCATCTGGGGCTTGTACAATAGGCCAGAAGTGGGCGCGGTACAAGGGACTTAGTCCCACTTCACTAGCATTTAAAAAAAGGCTTAATTTAGCATCTCGCCGTGAAGATGTAAGGCGTGGGGCTGCGCATATTGGGGCACTAGATTAATGAGAGTGTTCAGCTTCACTTTCCGGCCGCTTTACCTCCTGGGTAGACCCTAGAACAGATTCAGATGCTGTGGAGCAGAGACATATCTGTTTCGACCCTGCCAGGAATAGAACCCCGATATACCGACCATGATAGGCCTGAGGGCCCAATACTGATCTAGGTGACTCGAGATGTAAAATTTATGGGTTGTTCTCAAGAGGTTCTGGTTCGAATCTCGGTCGGAGCGTGGAGTTTGTAAATAGATTGTACGTGGGGTTTGTCTGTTTTTATTTCAGGGTGAAATGTCAAGATGGCGAGCCTGCGCCAGTTAATGCCACGGTCATGTTCACCAGAGCATACCATTTGATGTTAGACCCATTAGTTTGAGCTAGCATCATTAAATGATCCATAATTTGATGTATGAAATTTAGTTTTTAGTGTTGGCCCCTCTGTAAAAATGTGAAGTTGGCCCTGTGCCTAATTCCTTAAGCACTGTGCAATGAAGACGTACGCGGCGGTGGTGGTATAGCTCCTCCATTCTTGACCGCGGTACTAGATAGATGCGAGTGGTCAGCGTCACGTTCTGGCCTCTTTTCCCCCCGGGTAGCCTTTGGACATGAGGCAGGGTGGGCTGCAGACCCGGTCTGTACGTCATGGAGAAGAGGAAAACCTTACCATGCCGGCCTTTTTATAATCGCAGGGGCACGCGGCGGCGTAGCCGCACTATGGCCCTGGGGTCCACTCAGCCTCTAACAGAAATGAGTACCAGGAATCTTCCTGGGGATATAGAGCGGCCGGTGCGTAAGACTGACAACCTCACCGCCATCTGTGAGCCGATTGTATAGATAATGTGGGAGCCTCGCCGTCTCACAACCCTATGGGCCTCCTCGGCCTGTTACAGGGGTAGCTTTACCTCTTTTTAACCTTTCTTTATAATCGCCCCGTTAGTGATAACGGTGGCTAAGACGCAGGAGTAATATGGACGGGGCGGTATGAATTCTTCTGAATATATCGACAACCTTAGGACATTCGGGAAAACCGTGGGCCCCATTGGGCATGAAGTAGGGCACAAGTTTGATTTCCCCTTGCAATATTTTTTTTTGTCCACTCCGATGAATATTCCGCGAGTTCCTTGTTAAATGCGCTCCAGGTTTGTGCGAAATCCCGTGTCGGTCTTCATGTTATGCGTCTGGCGTCCTGACTGTAACCAAGTACAGAACATGCCCATATCTACCTACCCGCCTACCTACCTTCTTACCTACTTTCCTGCCTACCTACCTACTTACCTACTTTCCTGCCTACCTACCCGCCTACCTACCTACTTACCTACGTTCCTGCCTACTTACCTACGTACCTACCTATCCGCCTACCTACCTAGCTACTTACCACGTTCCTACCTATCCGCCTACCCAACTACTTACCTACCTATCCGCATACCTACCCACCTACCTACTTACCTACGTTAGTTACCTATCCACCTAGTTACCTACCTCTCTACCTAGTTACTTACCTGCGTGCCTACCTACCTACCTACCACTCGGCACTACAGCCCTCCTCTAGAGCCAGTCTCAACTAATCTCTATTCCTCATTTTCTCTATCCGTTCTTTCGCCTTCCTCTTCTTCAGCTCGTTCTCAACATCGCCTGGCCATCTCATATTCCAAGTTGCCATCGCAGTATCACTGTTCCTTGTCCTTTGCTTAGTCCGTTTCCCGTATGTTCCATGTATCCGAGGCTGGTTGCTAGGTTTCTGAGGTTCTTAGCCTCATGTCCAACCCCCTAACCTGGAGGACTAGGGTATCACTTTGTCTGGACTCTCCCCTTTGACATTTCCGGCATGGGTGACCCTACCGGTAGTTAAACCACCGCCGGCATAGCTCTCCAGGTCACAGAGTCACACAAGCCCCACTACCGCGACAAGGTGGAGACATGCCCATACAATTTCGTAAAACACCTCGAAATTCAACTCCACGCAGTTTGGGAATCGTTACAGACGGACAGACGTGGTAAGGTCAGCTTCACTTTGGGAACGCGCGGAAAAGGGGGCAGTTGGAAGGGGACTGGCATTCATGGTGAAGTTACCTAGGACGGAGTGAACGCCGTATGTCAGCGTATGGGGTCCAAGCTGGAGTTCCAGACCCCACGATTGCTGACCGTGGTTGTTCAGTGTACCTGTTCAGCAGCATAGTGACCGGTTCAGCCGTGAAGTCCCTGAATCACCCCTTCCACCAATCCTGCCCCTCCCCGCAGGTAACTTGGTAATTTGCCGTGGGATTTTGTGTTCCTCACATCTGCGGGTATGATCAGTTCTGGCATATAGTCAATTGGAAGTCAAACCGACGTTTCGGAGGAACATTTGACCTACATCTTATGCTATTTACTTCATATAATTTTTTTCCGTGGCTTGTTCTTCGACACTGTAGGTGAGTGTAACATTTATTTTTCCAGAAACGTGTCTGTTGACCCGCAACGGTGGTATATCCCAGAAGACATTTAATTGCTAGTGGGGTGGGACTAAGTCCCTCCCAGAAGTCTTTGTTTCGTATGTGAGTCAGCCAGTTTTCTCGTACCCGCTGGAAATATCCCCAAAGTAGTCCACAGTCATTCCGTTTAGGATTTATGGCTTTCTGGATATGTCCATCTACTAGTCCATAGGGAGCCGGGATAGCTCAGTCGGTATAACGACTGTCTATGGGCTGGACGACAGAGGGGTCGGAGTTCGAGTCCTAGTATGGTCAAGAATTTTCTCTTCTCCACGTCGTCCATACCGGATGTGGGGTTCACCCAGCCTCCTATCCGAAGTTTATCGGGGGGAAAACAGCCGGGGCGTGAAGCTGACCACTCACTTCTAGCTAGTGCCTAGTTCAAAGAAAATGTGGATCTATACATCAATTCACCCATACACCTTCATGGTGTAGGGCTTAATTAAGCACAGAACAAATTTATTTTATGCTTTATGTAATTCGGTAATGTCTGGTGACGTTTCGGAGGAACTACACGCCGTAACATCCCAGATGATTATAATGTTCACGGCCAAATTATGTTTACGGAATACCAGACTTTAGGTCACTCAAAGAGTGTGCATAGAACTTGAGGATAGGCAATAGACAATATTGAGATGGATTAGACATTGTAGGTAATATTGGCTCATAAGGAACAAGAAGAATGTTGAATGAATATTAATATAGACCTTATAAGATTAGGCCCGTAGAGACGTCGGAATCGTTCGTGTAACTTTCAATAAAAGCGTTCATTTCATCGGAGAAATAATAATAGGGCCCATATTGTTACAAATTCGCAGAGTTGTTCTCAGTCACCCCTCACATGTTCTTAATATTTTCGGCGGCCTATGGCGTATTTCATTTAATTCCTTTTTAATATTATCAAAACAAGAAAATAAAGAATAAAATTGATACCGTGCCTGAGCGGTAGTGAGATGGCCACATTTTGTAGCTCACGCCATTGCTGTTTGCGTAAAACCATTTTGCCTGATTCCTCCATGTTGGTTTTACTTGTTGTTTGTTCAGCAGTACTCCAGTCCCAGTGCGACGAGAGATCGACCAATGGGCTGGCTCCATGGGCGGCGACTGCCAGTCATAACCCCGCCCTTACTCCGCCCACATTATGGCAGTATCCTGGTAAGTACCACCTTCCAACTTCATCCCTCCTGTGAATATATCTCTCCCTTAGGGGGAGGGAATACGTACTACCCCTCAGTCTTTTTTTTGTATTTTTTCTTTTACTTTTGTTTGGAATTCTGTTTGTCATTATAATGAAGTACCGCGTTTTGGGTACAAATAGTTCAAGTTTTGAGCCACCGGGCGGAGCTTACGTCGTCGTCATTGAAAAGAGGACGTATCTAAAATATTATCTAACATGACACGTAATGAAAATTTGATAGTATACTTAGTAATGCTTTCAAAAACATTAATCCGTGTCTTTGTTTCTTTTTTGGTTCCCTTTTAAGAGATTGGATGTATCCCCTATATTGCTTTACTCCTGTTTTCTCTTTTGCCTGTTGCTTTACATTCATTTTCGTGAATCGATTTTGGGTTTGGAAATCTCTATGAAGTTCATATTTGTGTCACGTAGTAATAAGCTTTGATTTAATTTTATCTCATTTGCATTTGCTACGATTTGTACTTTGGCGAGGGTATAATTAATAGTGACGTCATAAGCCAATACGAAAACAGCGAATGAATTGTAGCTACTGAGATCGAGGGATCTTCAGACTTTGGCCCTGAGGAGAGCATTCAGGCTGTAGACGAGACTTAATAGCTCAGTCGGTATAGCGACTAGCTGTCGGCTGGACGGCCGGGGTTCAATTCCCGGCAGTAGCGAGAGATTTTTATCTTCTCCAAAGTGTGCAGACCGGCCCTGGGGCTCGCCCAGCCTCCTATACAATGGGTATGTCGGGTTCTTTCCCCCGGGATAAAGTGGACGGAGCTTTAAGCTGATCTCTCCTCCATTTGCATTGGATGACGCATGTTACAGCCATTTCAAAATATGAATCCGTATTGGAAAACAACTTTAATACCTTAGCACAGTCAGTACACCTGATGATGGCCCAGTAAGGGTCGAAACATGTGTTTTTAAGATTATATTGCCAGTTATCTGTATTTGTACAGGAAATTGTTGTGTTGACGGGTGTAAGAATACTGACTGTCTTCCATTCCCGCTAGCCGGGATAGCCCATATTTTTCTCCACGGCGCCCAAACCGGCTCTGGGGCCCGTCCAGCCTCCTGTCCAATGGATACCTGGGATAAAACTGCCGAGGTTTAGAATGATGAAGCTATACCTCCTTTCCCCCCATACGTCTTTATGGCGTGACAAGCATAAGGACGGACTGAAACGATAGCGCAGTCGGTATGGCGACTGGCTGCGGGCTGGACAACCGACGGCCTGTTACAGGAATAATAATTTTTTAGCTTTGCGATGTTTACCCGCGCAGTTACACCGGACATGCGTGGAAGCCTTGCAGGTACGTCCTTGGGAAAGGCAGAAGGAGCCGAGTGCGGTGATGTTTGTTTAGGCAGAATTCATGTCTATGAGTTTGCGAAAGATTGCTGGACCAATTTTGGGAAATCCAGCGGGAGTGTATCAGTAGGACCCAAGGCCGACTCCAAATTTTTCAGTGGCGCAGAGGAGAACCAGTTTTCCAGTCACAAAATCTTTCTGTGAACTTGCGCTTAAGGCGGGGGCCATAGGAGCGCACGAAGTACGTCCGTTGCAACGAACGTACTTTATGACGGACGTTGCTGAGGACACCACACAGTTGCAGAATGTTGTGCGCCGTTTTTTGTCTGCAATGGAGCCAGATGAAAGCGTAGCATTCGCCTCTCTTGTATATTTCTACAACGGACGTCACGATGTTCGTTACAACGGACGCATTTTGTGCGCTCGTGTGGCCCCAGTCTAAGCCGTTGTTGGATTTGATGTTCTCACAGTTATGATTAAAGGTCTGGTTCGTGACGCTGTGTAGGTCGGAGGAACGCCGGTTTATTCCTGCCTTCTTCTTTAGATTAGTCTTCGAACCTGAAGATGGAAGCAATACGTTCCTCCGAAGTAGGTGGCGGTGCAACCCAGAAGTTCGTACTCCTTACGTTTAAGCTTTTTGGGGCTGTTTTCATTATTGTGCGTTGTACAATATTCATGATAGAAGAATAAACGATATTAAAAGAATGACTTTAATTTTTTGATATTGTTATTTTTCAGTTTATTTTTTGAAAAATCCATGGACCTTGGTGGCGGCAGACCACCCCCCACGTCGGCCATGGTAATGTTTACAGGAAATCGAGATTATACCTATATTAAGAGGAAGAGGTATTTCAGTTGGTGCTCAGTGACGAACTTTTGTTAGTACTGTTATGAATATTCCTCTCGTATAAGATCGCTTGTTTTCTTAGCCGGTTCAGTTCACAGCGTCAATAGGATTATCCTTTACGGTGTACGGTAAAGCGTAAAAGCTATCCTTGTTAACAGGCCGTGGAGGCCCACAGGGTTGTGAGACGTCGAGGCTCCCACATTTTCTCTAGACTATCGGCTCACAGATGGCAGTGAAGTTGTCAGTCTTACTCGCCGGCCGCCCTTTACCCCCAGGAAGATTCCTGGTACTCATTTCTGTTAGAGGTTGAGTCGACCCCAGGGCCATAGTGCGGCTGGAAGGATTAGGTCAGTTGAACAATCCAGTGACCTCATCAGGAATCGAACCCGCCACCTTCCGTCTAGTAGCGTTCTGTGCTGTACCACAGGAACAGAACTTACTTTACAGTCGGAGCGCCGTTTCAGACATCTTAGCAACGCCTGTAGGTTATGCAATTCCTCTAACACGCCTGTCTGTTTACTGTAGGTAAGGATGTGTGGTACATTATGGGTATACCGTGGGTTGGTGGTATTGGAGAACGGGGTCCCTACTAGAATATTTGGCCATCAAGAGGGTTGTTAGGAGTTTGTAAACGAGAGATCTCTACGGGATTTGGTTTTGAAACCTCTCCGAGTCCCGGTGGGCTCACCCAGCCTTCTATCCAATGGGTACGGGGGTAAGGCGGCCGGGTCATGAAGCTGACCACACCTCCAACTAGTGCCGAGGCCCAAAAAATGTGGCTCTGTACATCCACTCCGCCATACGCCTTCATGGCGTAGTGTTTAATTAGTTAAGCACAGGGACAACTTTACCTTTACGCCTCCTACCGGCGTCCTAACAGAGAATTCCATGTGATGAGATGTAATTCGGTTTAATTTTGTCAAGTACTAACGCTCCTCGAAACGTTAGTAGTTATCAACCCGACTAAACGGTGTCAGTTCAGCAATTTTTCATAGTCTGAATCTCATGTCGCAGTCTTGTATATCGCCCACGCGAAAGACAGAGGTGCTGGGAAGTACATTGTGCACTATGGCCCTGGGGTCGACTCACCCTCTAACAGAAATGAGCACCAGGAATCTTCCTGGGGGTAAAGGGCGGCCTTCTGGCGCGTAAAGCTGACAGCCTCACCTCCATCTGTGAGCCGATTGTCTAGAGAAAATGTGTGAGCTTCGACGTCTCACAGCCGTATGGGCCTCCACGTCCTGTTACAGGGATAACTTTACTTAACAGCCATGTGAGCCGATTGTCTAGAAAATGTGGGAGCCTCGACGTCTTACAACCCTATGGGCTTCCACGGCCTGTCACAGGGATAGCTTTACTTAACCTCACCGCCACTTTCTGTCAGTTACAGATGAGAAGATCTTAACAGATTTTCGTGATATTAAGGAGTATGACGAAATTTTTCCCACCCATTTCAATTATTGTTCAAAATATATTTCATGCCCCCTCGTTGGTGTTTCCACCTCATTGTGGTGAGGGGGTTTGAGTATGCCAAGGACCCTGAGAGCTATACCAGCGGTAGCGTAGCTACTGGCAGGGCCTCCCTTGCTGGACAGGTCAAAGGGTAGGCATCAGACGAAGAGACACACCAAAAACTGATGCCGG